GGGGGGGGGGGGGGGGGGATTTTGTGCTATGAGTTCACAGCCAAAAATGAACAGAAAAATACAAAGTGTAACTTGAAAAAATTTTTCACTTTATAGCAAACAGATGAGGCGAGGTGAGGGTCATCGGAAGAAGATCAATAATTTTGAGAAATGTTTAAAAATCCGAGGTGGGCGCGTCGCCATCTTTGAAGTCTCGCCCAGCGGAGGGAGCAAGATGGCGGCGCCTCACCTGCCAGCCACCTCGTATTTTCAAACATTTCTTAAAATTATTCACCTTCTTCAAATTACGCTCAGCTTGCTTTATTCGTTTGCTGTAAAATGAACAATTTTTTAAAGATATATTTTATGGTTCTCCATCCCCTTTGGGCTGAGAATTCATAGCCTAAAGTTCTCCCCGCATTTTAGTAATTTTTTCAATAGGATTCCGCAGAGCATCTGCAATGAATCAATTCCAAAATTTTTATCAATTGTCCATTCAGGGGTACATGTGGAGAATTGACTCTTTACGTTTTAGAACTTCTCAACAGACATGTTTTCTTAATAATCTGGATATTGACCTGATCACGCAGGAGTGTCACTGAGTCAGCTAGCTGGAGGTTCCTGGTGACCTGCAGGGTTTTCTGGCCAGACTCGACTCGCATGACATAGGCGCTGGGAAAATATCCGGCTCTGCCACCCAGGCATTTTCCCTTCCACCAGTCCTTCTCGGATTTATCGATCACCGTCACTTTATATCCCGCCCTTTTAAATCGAGGGTTAATGCATCATTATTAGAGTAAAGATATCGTGTGTCTGTTCACTTATCAGTGTGAACATTTTAATTATGGGAGAATGACGTTTAACGTAATTTTAGCTCGGCTTTTAGTGTGAGGGGAGGCGTTGGAGTTGGTGAATGCGAATGGAAATTTTTATTAAAATTTTTCAATGAAACTTTTCCATTGAACATTTCCATTGAAAAAACGCGTAGACAATCCAATAATACAATTTTGCAGGGAATGCACAAATTCAATCAAATTTGATTATATTTTATTTTAAAGTGAACACTCGCGAATTTTTCGAAAGAGAGTTTGAAAATACCAAGAAATTCAGAGAGCACTTTCCTTGAGAAAATGAACGGGATCAGCCCTCGGGGAAGAACCCTCGGGATTATGGAACAGATTGAGTTTTTGTGAACATAAAAAAAAGGAATATATCCTTTGAGTCCCTTCACAACGACTAGGTCACCTTAAACCGGAGATAAAATGAATCTCTCCCAGAGATTGTGTTTCCGTGAAAATCAAATTCTCCTTTCTTCCGCGCCACAGGGAGCTACGCCAATCCAACAGCGGCGGGGGGAGGGGGAGGGGTGAGTGGGTGTCAAGTGCCGAAAGCGCTGGGCTACTGTGTGGGTGACATTGAATGCCGGTTTCGCGCGTGTCAGGCAATAACAAAACGACAGTTTCAATTTTAACGGTGAAGTTGTTGAAAAACATTACAGTGAAATGTGATAGAGTGTTGTGTTTCCGAGGACAATGGGGTGAGCAGTGAAGTGGATTGTTTGTCCGTAATACGTCGAGTGCAGGGCGAGCTGAAAGGTTAGATTCACGAGATCCTTTTGTTGAAATATTTAGGGCAATTGAGTTATTACTTGCTGATGGACCAAAATAACTATTTTCGTAAGGAGATCCAAGTGTCTTGTACAGTTTAGTACAGACTACACGGCAGTAAATTTGTCAGGTAAATTGCGTGAGAAAATTTGAAAATGAGTATTCAGCGTCACACGCGGGTATTATTATTCTATTGAGAGATTTTTTATGGAATTACCTCGGCTCAAATTTTTTGTTTTACCCATTCCTTTTTTTCTTTTCTCTTCATGAAGGGAATTAAACAGTTTCAATCATTAAATTTCTCAATTAAATTGCGCGGGAATATTAGAAAAGAAATTAATATTCAGCGTCACACGCACGTGTTATTATTCTATTGAGATTTTTTTAATGGAATTTCGTCGGCTCAAATTTTCCAAGTTTTTTTTAGTTCTCTTTTTTTTATTTTCTTGCCATCGAGAAGATCAAACAAAAAAACCTGGAAAATTTGAAATTTGAGCCGAGGAAATTCTGTAGAAGATATCTCAATAGAATAAGTGATATAGAAAAATCTAATTCTATTGATTTTTTCGATAGAATATTTTCTATTGAACATTTTAATAGAATGGGCAAAAAAATGGGCGAATTCGATAGTTTTTCTATGAAATTTTTTCGTACGCGCATTAAAATTCCATTTTGCACAGAATTCTTATTTTTTAAACATTCGTTGTTTATAAATAAATAATTGCAATTGTTTAAACTTTCGGAAACCTAATTTTTTTGGGCGTGAAATCGATCTCTATTAAAATTCTGAACATGAATATGTAATTTTTTTGCGATTGTAAGGAATGATTTTTAGCTGTGTGAACTTGGAGTCGAAGTTTGATAAATCGATTTTTTTTCTTATAGTATCGATTGTACTCAGTGAGTACCTAAATGTACCACATTCATTTTCGTTTGTACCCCGCATCGCTAGACGTAAGGNAGTTTGATAAATCGATTGTCTTTCTTATAGTATCGATTGTACTCAGTGAGTACCTGAATGTACTACATTCATTTTCATTTGTACCCCGCACCCCTAGACGTAAGGGGTGCGGGAAAAATCGTGCAGCGTCGGAAATGAAGGTACGGAAAAAATTTTCATGAGCAAGGATTCAGCATGGATAGTACTTGTATGTACTATATTTTTCCATTTCATTTATCAACCCCTTCAATACTTTACCCGCTTCTAAAATCTTGAATGTATGAAGGACGTCAGGAAAACATACAGATAGCTTCTAAATTGTTAGTACTCGTTTGTACCAACGAAAATTATTCATTATGATTATTATTATTATTCTCATCAAATCACCTGATTCCATTTTTATCAACCGTAAAATCATCGTAATGAATTCCATATGTAGTTCGTGAAGTTTTGATGTGGGTACAAACGTCTCATCTTCCGTACTTCCACTCCCATCGCAGTACAAACGGAACAATTTACTGTACATGATAATGAGACCAAGTACAAACCATTGAGAGCTTCAAAAACAGTCGTAGATTATTAAGAAAAATGATACAAACGTTTTTCTGAATTTTTCCGAGATAATCGCGAAAAACGAAATGGCCAAAAAAAAATAATTTAATTTATCTTGTAGAGGGCGTAGGAAGTGGAAAAGTGCAATTCTGAGCCGTCCATCTGCCTATACGGGACCCAAATTTTCTCAGG